AGAATGAGACTAAATGAGACTAAATGACAGCACATTCTCATTTTTTTCAAGTCATGATTTCATTTTAAGATCTGATATATAGTCACTTTACATGTTTTTTTGATAGCCAGTCCCAGCGGTTTCACGCCAAGAAATGTATGAGACCAGACCAAATGAGATCAAACATGAAATTCATGGTTCCAGCGGCCAGTCTATCTGCATCACTCTCAGATCTCTTAAGAGAAATGAATGTAAATCTGCAAAAGAAGAAGTTTTGTTTAATCATCTGAAATGCCGCATGCAAAGAGGCTTTTCTCACACTGAGAGAATGTGTAACAACATTCTCAGTACTTATTCAATCAGATTGTGATAAAGCTTTCTATATTGAGATAAACACATTTGAATGAGCTATCAGAGACACTCTTCTACAGATGAGTAAGAACAGCAAGCTGTATCTGATAACATATAATGATAGAAAACTATTGAATGCTGAGCTCAATTACCCAGTGCATGAAAAGGAATTGCTAGTAATCAAGCACACACTGATGTTATAGAATAGATATATTGATAACAGACATATAATAATGATGATTATGAATTATGAAAGCCTCATCTATCTATAATTAATGATAAAACCTTTCAAATACTTAGCATGTTGAATCTCAGAGTTTCAAGTGTATAATCTTTATATTAAATACTGAAAGAAATTGAATGCTGTGATGCCTGATGTAATCAGTCATAGATCTGATTTCATGAGTAAGAGTTCTGTGAATCAGATATAAGAGAAGTTCATATTAAACATGCTGAGAGAATACAAGGAATCAGAATGAGTGAATACAATGATCTCTCACTTGATGAATAACAAGATGTCAGATAACAAGTGTCTTATAAAAGTAGTAGAAGAGATGCTTTCAAACTTCAAGCTGAGAAAATTGAAAAACAATGTTATACTTTACTGTGATCTAGAATATGCAGAAGCTCTCTATCTAGAATCTTTATTTAGATATAACTTAGTAACTTGTATGCACAAGGAATTTGATCACTTAGAAAGCCCTGAACTCATGAGTGTACTTGAATCAAGAGTATACTGATCAAGCATGGCTGAGAACATTCAGACATATGCTCACAAGTGCCTGAATTATCAGATTATGAAAGAATCTAAGAAAGAATTAGAATGTGAGAAAGCATAATATCAGATAAAGTGTATAATACAACTGTTTAAACAATGAGAGATGAATCTCATAGATATATTATTACAAATATTAAATGAAAATCAATGAATAATCACTGCTATTGATTTCACTACTGACTGATCAGTTATGAAAGCAGTTTCAGAGATGACAGAGAAGATGATGATAAAGTTTCTATATAATAAGATCTATATCAACTATGAAATGCTGCATGAGATTCTAACTGATAATGATGTAAATCTTGTAGAAGAAATGATGAGGCATTTCATGAGTTAGTTACAGACAAGACATTGTAGAACAATGTCATATCATTCACAGACAAACAGGAAGATGAAATGCTTGAATGAAATCTTGAGCAACATGCTGATGAAATATCTAGTGAGCAAGCCTATGAGACTATGAGATGAATATCTCAGACAGGCACTATTAGTCATGTGAATTTGACAGTATGCAGTCTTCAAGTATTCATCATTGTATCTGTTGTATGGATTGCATCCGTGCATCCCGGAGAATGCTTTAGAAAAGATGAGAGAGGAAATAGCAGTTGTGAATGCAACAGTCATGAGTGCAATAGTTGCAGACACAGCAGGAACAGCAGTTGTAGCTGCAGCAGTCACAGATGTGAAATCAAGATTGAAAGAGATCAGTCACACGCACACAAAAGCTAACAAGTTACTCCTGAACTGAGCAATTCAATTGAAAAGAACACAAGACTCACTAGTTAAGAAATTGAGTCTTAAGATGAGAATATGAGTTCTCATACATAATGAGAGTTCTGAGAAGTTTCAACCTAGATGGTTTGAGTTATATAAAATACTCAAATCACATTCTCTGAGAACATACACATTGAAAGAATCAGAGAGACAGATCTTATACAACTTAATAAATGATTTATATCTTATGAAAGTAAAGATATAAGATCTGAGCAGATTATGATTATCTATAGCACTATTATCAGTATTAAAAAAGAAGAGACTTATAATTGAAAAGTCTTACAAAGTAAGAGAAATCATAGACACTTATGAATCAGATAATCTCACTTATTTCAATCTTTTCACAAATTATAAGAAAAGAATGAGAAGAAATGAAGAAATCAGATGAACATCACACTTCAATAAGTAATAAGACTGTAGCTGATTGTATGATAATATGCTGCAGATAGCAGATGCAATGTGATAAAGAGCAGTCTCAAAGCAGCAGACTTGTATGTGAATCAGATTATAGAAGAAATGAGAATTCAGAGTTGAATTCAACTGTTTACACTAGTTTAATCACAGAGATAACAGAGGATGAATCATCTGAAACATTCACAGATACATGAGATTAAGTCATCTCAATCTCTGAGAATACTCAGAAATTGAGTGAGATTAGTTGCAATAGACTGTTCACTGTAGTGGTCTGAGCAGGTGAAGAGAGACAGTATAATATGTGAGACAGAATTATAAAAGATGAAAGCTGCTGAATCTAGTCACTGAACACTGTACTATATAGAGAGTGTATAAGAGTAATGACTAGCAGACAAAGAAAAAGTGTAAGAAAAGAAAAGAGATAATAAATTAATCATCAACTGTAAGAATCAGCTGTAAAAGACAAATGTTATCATATATCTCATTTATTTTCATACATCACATGTTTAATCTATTTTCAATACTATGTCACCTGAAAAACACTAAAAACAAAGAAAATCTCAAAACTCAAGATCTGTAAGAGATTCAAGAACTGTAAGCTACTCTTGCAATAACACTGCACATGTCTCTTATTCCTCTATCACTCTGTGTACAACATTAATGTCATTTATTGCAAGATTGACTGGAATGCTAATATAGAAATGCATACATGTATGCATAGAAAAATTGAAGAAGAACATAGAACTCACAGAATCAGAAGTCAGAGCAGAAGAGACAGAAGAAATGAAAGAAGAAGAAGATACAGAACTAGATAAATAATAGCAGAAGTCATCTGAGACTGAATACTTGCAATTCAGTGTACACACAATCTTTCTCACAGAGAAGAGAGAGAAAGCAACAAGAGAAGCTTGAAGATGAGAAGAAGTAGTCTCAGAAGCATTGTCATCTTTGATTAAAATGACCTCTGATGCTGAAGTAACTAAGAACTATTATTAGTGTACAAAAACTGTAAAAAGCAGGGATAATAATTACTGAATGAACACCTACTGGTCTTAGAATTGTACATGTAATTACAACACACATGAGGCTCCTCAGAAAGAGAGAGAGAAACACAGAGAAATGCAGAAAGCAGAACACAGTGTGTGAACAGCTCATTCTCATAATGACATTTCAGACAAGATGTACAAGCCTCACACTCACAAGTGTAAAAGAGTATGATATTTATATTCTTATTTCTGAAAACACAGATATTCTTCACCTGCATCATGAAGTCAGATAACAAACATCAGAGAATAGACTGATACAGGTCAATTATTCTGAAGATATTCATCAGAGTGAATATATCTGTAATATTGAATTTAACAGTTGTAAAAAGTTCCTTGATATCTGTGAATATCATAACTTTGTGTATAACAAAACTTATAATGATTTCTTCTAAGAACAGAAAAATCAGTGTTAGAAAGAAAAGATGAAAAAGAAAAAGACTTATAATCTTAACACTGTTGAAGAGAGAAGTGATTCTCTGATATGAATGAACAATTGTCTCATTATAAATATTTAAAATTAATGTAATAATCAGTATCTGTGACTGAGCTTCAGATAGTTGTATTATACATCATCTTTGTACAATAAATTATTCTAGAGATTGATAAGAAGGACAGAAGTGTATGCACTGAGAAATATAATTTATTAAGTCTATACAACATCTTCTTGAAACAGAGAGAGCTGGTAATAAAAGCAGAGACAGCAGAATCAGAGAGAGTAGAAGTAGTAGAAGTGAGAATCACAGGAACAGAGATAGCAGAAGTGGGAGAACCAGACACAGAAGCAAGTATAGAAGATTAAGAGAGAGCAGCAGAGAAAGAAACAGAGAAGAAAGCAGCAGAGAAAGAAGTGACAGAAGAAGTAGAAGAGAACACAGAAGACTCAGTCACATATAATACAGACAATTTCTTCATTATTATGTTCTTCAAGTTCTCAATCAATGATTTAACATTGAGTTCACTATCATCAGCAGATGCAGATGTGTCAACATGTGAAGATTCTATATAAATAAAAATAAACATATCAGTATCTGCATTCATATAAAATCATGTCAGAAAACACAATGAGAGGCCTGCTGAGAAGAAAAAACAGTCAAGAATATATGAGAAGATGAAGAAGATATGTTATTCATGATAATACATTCTGATAATTATTAGAAGATAAACAAGTTCTGATCATGTTTTATAACACATTACACTTACTGCTAACAAACTGCCTGATATAAGCACTACAATGATACTTGTTATGAGAACAGAGAGTCATTGTCAGAAACACATACAATGTAATAGATGAACAGATAGAAAGAGTTGAACAGAAGAAGAGATAGAAATCTTGAATAAGATGATAACATTCAATAATGATGATGATGAAGAAGATGATTGAAGAATAAGAAAAGTTAGTGAATGAAAGATGTAATATAGTGAAAGTTTCTTTGTGAGAGTGTACACAGAATGCTCACTGAATCAGAAATAGGTCACACAATCATGAAATGCTAGTAGTGAGCTAATTCACATGAAGCTAGAATGTATGACATGATCATATGAGTGTGACTGAATATGGTGAGAGAGGATGTAGTTTGAAAGAATGTACAATCACTGAATAATAATGCAGCTGCTTCTGAACTTGCTTATGAATGTAAAGATGCCATAGCGGCCACCAATTAATTTAGTGTACAGTATATAAGAAGCCGGTGTACGCCTGTAATCGTACGCTGGCTCAAGCAACCTTTGAATCACAAATTGATAAATGTACAATAGTTGACTCTATAGATATAGGAAAAACTCTGAGAACTAAAAAGTTCTCAGGTAGATATCATAGTCTCTGACTACATACATCTATAATTGAAGAATAATAATAATAATATACAGTGTATTACAATATACTCAGAATTTTCATTTGCATTGTAGAATAAGCATTCTATTAAATCAAATCTATTATTAAATCTTTATATATAAGATTTGAAATAATCATGTTCTAGTTTCAGCTGAATTATAGATGAGAATATTTTCTTTTTACATTTAATTGAACACAATTTTCACTTGAGTTTTATTTCAAATCTTGAATAATATATACTCCTCTTTTATTTCTGCCAGTTTTCATTTTATTTATATAAACAAGATTCTTTTAGCTTTCTCTTTATAAAAGATGAGAACACTATTTTTTGAATAGATCTGCTTAATTCTGAACTCTTTTTTGCAGCTGAATCAGCTAATTCATTATCATGAATATTCATATGAGTAGAAACTTAGTGTAGATGAATTATCAGTTTTAATATTCTTCTCTTTTGAATTTTTAAAACAGAATGTAAAATCAGTTTAAGATTCATTTGATTATTATGAATCTGACTATTTCTAAGTCTTTTTAAAGCAGCTTGACTATTAGAGAATATTCATATCTCTTTCAATCTATTTTCTCTTTTATAAGATTTTATTTCAATGAGTTTGAAATCTGTTACTATTATAAATAGTTCAGTATCAAAGAGTTCAGATTCACAGTTTAAATATCAGAAATCTGAGATAAAATTAATACTATCTTCAGTATAAGCAATGTCTGTATCTAATCTGTTTATACTTTTATTTTTTAAGTCATCTGAGTAAATCAGAATAGGGCCTTTTATATTAATTGTAGAGATTCTCTTCAAATACTGTTTATATTCTCTCTTCTTAGATAGTTCACTTATTTATAAGTCTATGAGAGATTCAAGCTTTTCTCTTCAGAGAGATATCTTCTCATGATTAACTTTTTCAATATTTAATAAAGAAAATTGATTTTTAATCAGTAAATATAGTATATATAGTTAAGAGAATATTTTCTTTGAAGAATTATTTTTATTTCAATTAAGAAATCTATTTCAATGCAGTTTATTTCCTGAGTTGATTAATGAAAATGAAGAAGAAACTCTTTCTCTGATTATGTAATTTAAGATTATCTTTATAACTCTCAGAGTATAGTTCATACAGATCTTTTCAAATCTAATAGAAGAAGAGAGAATTGAAGCTTTAATTTTCATTACTTTAATAGAAGATGATTTGAATACTACTAGAATTCTTCTCAAAGCTCTGTTTTACAGACTTTGAAGGAGTTCAGTGAAATTTTCTTGATTATTTCATCAAACTTAAACTTCATAATCAGTTACTGAGATAATACAGACTATGTATAACTGTCTTATAATCTGAAAGAATAGATCTCTCTCTGTATTTAATAGTCTGATTATGCTATTTAATAGTCTTTGTGCCTTAATAGTTCTTTGTTGAATATAATGTTTAAAATTCAACTTGAAGTTTAATCATACTTCTAATCATTTAACATTCAAACTGAGTTTAATCTCTTTATCTAAAAGAGTTAGGCACAGTTTTTTCTCAATGAATTTAGAAAAGAAATGAATTAACTCAGTTTTATTCATATTAAATTAAATTTGATTGATATCTACTCTAATAAAGACTTTCTTTACTGCTTTTTCAATCACTTCTAAATTCTCTTTGATTGTTTTTAAACTGTAGACTAGATCAATATCATTCATATAACTTGAAGATCTCACTATTTTCATGTCTCTATTCTTGCCAGTGTGGCTCAGTTGATAAGACTGATAATCAAGACCGGACACATTAGAGATATGTGAGTTCAAATCTCATCACTGACATCTGTCACTTCTTATTCATGAAAGCTCTTATGTAATAGAGACTGAGTCTAATTAGTCAGACTTGATACAGAATAGAACTCTCTGCTATAAGTTAAGTCACTAGTTAAGTGAGATTCTGCAAACATTTATCAGAGCTAATATGAGATGTCAGTATCTCACTAACATACTATGCATCTGTCCAGGTTCTAATGCTATAGAGTCAAGCCTAATATAGTGATTATATACTACTTGAGCTAGTCTCTAACTAGAGCTGTCATTGAAGCCTAGCTCTCTCTTAAATATAGAGAATAATTTTGAAAATCACTTAACTAGCAGATCTATACATGTATCTAGACTCTAGACAGAGCACTCTGATAGTCTAGAGTCTGTAAGCTCACTGTCAAGCTCTAATACTGACAGGGAGAACTGAAGTTATTAAGTCTATAATTAATCTCTAATACAGAGTAAGGTTATGACTGCTGATAGATAGATCTATGAGCATCTAACAGAGCCGAGATCAGCAACCGGAAGCTTAATATGTACGCTAAGTGAGTGATGACAGTCACTAACTAACACCTCTGAAAATTAGTGACTGGCCTGAGAGGACAGATGCAGTGATCAGTTAATTATAGAGAGTTAAAATATAATTAGCTTAAGATGTATTTGCAGATAACTAGAGTCTGTAGTCTATCAAAAAACAGTATTCTGATCTTTTATAAAGAGAAAGATAAAAGAATCTTGTTTAAACAAATGAAATAAAAGCTGGCAGAAACAAAAGAAGAGTATACATTATTCAAGATTTGAAATAAAACTCAAGTGAAAATCTTGTTCAATTAAATGTAAAAAGAAAATATTCTCATCTATAATTCACCTGAAACTAGAACATGATTATTTCAAATCTTATATACAAAGATTTGATAATAGATTCAATTCAATAGAATTGTAAGAGGCCTACGCCGAATAGATCGGTATAATATTATAGGTCTTATATAACAAAGATAAAAACATTAGAGAAGGAAAGAAAGAGAAAGTGCGAGAATCAGTGATTAAGGTGGATATTTATATGTGTATGTGGTAGTGTGCACAGTGGAGCTTCGGGGCGGAAGAATATACGCGCGTTTGTAGCAGCTGAGGATCAGTGATTGAGAATGACCAAGAATCAGAGCATACATGTTCAAGAATGAAGTGATTGGAATCTGTGAAGTGTAACAGAATAGTCTATATAATTGATTGAGTGCAGCCTGTCACATTAGCCCTCTCTTTCAGAAGCAGTTCTCATCAGTCAAGAACCACTGTTTCAGATAACATACAACTCAGAGTTCAGATCAGTTGATTGTAATCAATTCATTTCACAAGATATTATCAGTCACAGTCACAGAGTCTCTCATTGAGAATATTCTCAATCTCTCACTCAAGCTCATTATCTTCTTCTATAATGCCTGATAACTGTCAGTCAGAAGTCAGTTGAGAAGGAAATGAATCAGTGACAGCATGATGAAGCAAGCTTGTATAAAATACATTATGAATTTCTGATGATGTGTCAAGATAATAGTTGTGACTATCTAGAACTTCTATCACTTTATACTTGATGTGGCAGTAATCTAGTGTACAAGATGAATGTGTGATTTGTATGTTCTTAAGATTCAATCATATCAGATCTTCTATCTTATATTGTTCAGTGAAGTCTCAGTGAACATTGATTTGATCTTCTTAATCTTGTTTTGCAGTTGTCATGAAGGCCTCTGCTCAATCATGAGCATCTCAGAGTTTCATTACTATATTATCAGTGATCTGAATCAGACTGTGAGAGTTCAGTGTGAACTGTGTAATCTCTAGAAGATTCAACACTTTCATGTGAT